CTTCACCAAGAAAGGTTTAGGTTGGACATCAGGAGAAATTTCTTCATGGGAAGGGTTGTTAAACAATGGAATGGACTGCCCAGTGAGGTAAGGGAGTCACCATCCCTGGAAGTGTTCAAGAAATGACTGGACATGGCACTTAGTGCTATGGCCTCATTGGCAAGGTAGTGATCACTCAAAGGTTGGACTTGATGATCTTGGAGGTCTTTTCCAACATAAATGAGTCTGTGAATCTGTGATTCTGTGATTCAGAGGACATTTCAGAATACTAATATGGAGTTTTGTGTGTCCCAGCATGTAGCAGGCTCTGCTTCCAGGAAATACCTTAAGTGTCAGTAGACATACTTCCCTTTAGAAACCTGTTTTGACTACCGAATGTATATTTCTACATACATATGCAGATGCTACTTATTCAGCTTGACTATTTTTTTTAAGAAAAAGTAATTTAAAAAAAAAGTATTAAGCCATAGGACAATGTTATACTTTGTAATTTGCCAGAAAACATGCCTCATCTTTGTGTAACCTGTTTTATGAAATTAAATTTTTAACTCCTTCCTTTTATAAAATGGTATTCATTCACATTATATATGTTATTTCTGATCTTTTTCTCTTACTTTCTAATGTCTATTGGAGATTTTTTTCCACAGAAATGCTGACTCCCAATGGCAATTTTATACCACCTACTACAACTCAGTAATGGTTACATATATGTCATTATCTTAGTGTCTGACTTTTAAAGCTCCTGTATTTTCTTGAAATATTTCTTACTGACAATGTTCAGCAGTGATGTTCTGTAATGGTTGGACCATTTGAACAGGTTGATACTGCAATTTTTATACACTAAATACATCTACCTTACATTTTGGTCCTCTATTATTCAGGATTTTCTATTGCAATTCTATATTGAGCTTGTGTGAATTCAAATTTCACATTTCAAAAATGTATTTATCATAACAAAGGGGTTACACTGTAGCCACTTGTATTAATTCAATTTACACTGGATTTGACAGATTTCTGTAAAGTAGCAAATGCTAATCAAAACACTGTTATTTCTCAAGGTGTTTTCGGTTGGCTAGTTTAATGTGAGATGTCCTCTAAAGAAGCTCCCTATGTACTCTCAGTCGACTGAAAAATGTACCAGTGCTCATAAAAGTGACCTCATGTTTGCCCTTTGTTACAGGGCAATGGCCACAAAATTTCTGGAATACTTTTCCCCATAGAGGATTTTCTCAAACTGTCTGCCTGATGTATGTGACATGTCACTTATCATTAAGAAAGAAAGTTTTAGTAATGTGCAGCATCCCACATGAATGCTTGAAGCCACTTTACAAGTTAGGGTTACGCTCTTCTGACAAAATGTCAATGTCTTGTCATGCATATTCAGTGTCACTGAGTTAGTTGTATTTGCTTTTGGAAATGTTGCACTTGTATGAAACTTGTCACATAAAACAGAAAAGACAGAAATAACTTTTAAAAACCTGCAGCCACTGAGCTGAAGTGCTTTCAAAGTAAGATTCTGTAAAATTTGCTGTGTCATGAACTTTGCTGACTAGAAAATTACTGAATCCTGTTGTAGGCACAAAGGTGGCATCATTATACACATGTGTGCAACCTGAGATCTTCCCAGTCAAGCTCAACTTTCTCACTCAACTTTTCTGTTGCAATCTTGCTTTGGGGCCTCGAAGGATCTGCAGTCCTGCTCCGAATAGCCACTGTGCACAAGACTTAGAAGGCAGTTGACCTGATCATGTGTCTGACAGCATTTAATCCAAATATTTTAAGTTCTTATTGAGCCAGCTAGAGTCAAAGAGAAATACTCTCACACCTGTGAGATATCAGTTGTTCTCAGTGAACTGTGCAAGTGCATCCACAGATGACGTACAAAGTCATATACAAGCCACTAGAAATAATTGAAGTAGACAGTATTCATGTCACTTGGGAAGGTGGTAAAGGCTGTGCAAACTCAGCACTTCTAGTCTCCATTAGATTATGGTATTTCTCATCCAAATATCTTGTTGTTACTACAAAAAACAATCCTAATTCAGACTGAATCTGAACCATTGTTTGTCAGAATAATCACATGTGTTTCTAACGTAATCTTGTACCACAGTGGAGTTAAACTCAGCATACTCCATGCTAAACATTCAGATCATGATTCTTGTGTTTTGACAAACAAGAAACTATAAGTTTTTAAGATAACACAGCAACACGGAATCTTTTACATTTCTTCCAGTGTTTTAATCTGTAGGTTAAAAAAATTAGGCCATGTAGAAAAAATCTGTGTGATATGAATGTTCACTTGGGAACATAGCTTATACTTTCTACTGCTATAGTATAAGAAAAATTTTGCATATGTTTTATCAGCTACTATAGGAAGAAGTAATTAATTTTACTCTAAGAAAAAAAATCACTTCTGGGTACTGACTTTCCTTTTCAAGTATCCGAGCATAAACCACTTCATGTGCAGTAAACAAAAAGTTACAATGTTTAAATAAATATGTCCTTTCTTGAAATAATTCCATTTTGCAACTTGAAAGGAGCTGTTATTCACCAGTTGTTTCAGTGTCTGAGTTAATAAAGTCCTTATTCTTTGTATAGTTGGGTGGATGTTTGACACTTCACTGAAGCCAATTTATTAGCATTGTAGCTAAAACACTTTCACAGACATACATTACTTGTTTACAAAATTTGATCTTTTGAAATAAGTAGTATTTTAGTTTCAATATAACTTAAATTTAAATAATTTGGTCTTCCAATCAGAAATATTTATGGAGAGCTCAAAACAAAAATTAGAGAAGAAACTCAATTAGAGAAGAAGCTCAATAGTCAAATACTTAAGGGTCTGATTAATGTTTAACTCTTCATTAACCTAACTACGTTTCCTAGATACGTTGCAAGAACCTAGCAGGAAGACCATAGGCCTTGCTTGCCTCAAGATTAAAATAAAAAAACAAGTTGTATTAAACCAGTCATCAATACATGAAAAGCCACCCACACTTAGGATCACAGAATGATAAGCTTGGAAAAGATTTCTAAGATCATCAAGTATGACTGTCAGCCTAGCACCACCACCATGTTCATCACTAAACCTGGTCTTCAAATGCCATATCCATACATTCTTTGAATACCTTCAGGAACAGTAACTCTACCACTTCACTAGGTGGTCTGTTCTGATGTTTGACAACCCATTCTGTGAAAGAGTTATCGCTCCTTGTTCACCAAAGTAAACTAAATGAAAGGGTACAATAATGTGTCCCCATTTTTCTAATGTCTTTGACCTTGAACTGACAATTCAGGCTCATCTACTTTTACTACTGCAAGGAGTGTCAGAATATTTATGGTCTACTACATTTTCATAGAATCATAGAACCATAAAATCATAGCATAATAGAATCACAGAACGGTTTGTGTTGAAAGGGGCATTAAGGATCCACTAGTTCCAACCCTGCTGCTCTGGGCAGGCACACCTTCAACTAGACCAGGTTGCTCAGATCCACTTCCAATCTGGCCTTGAACACATCCAGGGATGTGTCATCCACAGCTTCTCTGGACAACCTGTTCCAGTGCCTCACCACCCTCACAGTTAAGAATTTCTTCCTAATATCTAGTCTAGACCTAGTCTCTCTCAGTTTGAAGCCCGTGTCCTGTCACTACATGCCCTGGTAAATAGTCTCTCTCCATCTGTCTTGTAAGTTCCCTTCAGGTACTGGAATGCTGCAATTAGGTCACTCCAAAGCCTTCTCTTTTCCAGGCTGAACAATTCCAATTCACTTAGCCGTTACTCATAGGAGGGATGCTCCATCCCTCTCATTATCTTGGTGCTTATTATCTGGACTTGCTCCAACAGGTCCATGTCTTTTCTGTGCTGGGGACTCCAGAGGTGGATGCAGAACTCCAGGTGGGGTCTCATGAAAGTGGAGTAGATAGAGAGAATCATCCCCCTTGATCTACTGTCCATGCTCCTTTTAATGGAGTCCAGGATATGACTGGCTTTCTGATCTGCGAGTGCACATTGCAGGCTCATGTTCAGCCTCTAATTTACCAGCCCCCCCAGGTCCTTCTCAACAGTGCTGCTCTCGATAACACTTTTTTTTGTAGCATGTAAGCCTTTATTTTTTCTTCAGAATGATACAACTGTGTAAAGCAATACTGCTATTCTCTTATACATTGTGTGAAATAGCTGCACTTAAAAACTTGCAGATGTTATCTTTCATAACTTTGTCGGAGAAAATATTCCTTCATTATTTCTAGTAATTCTTAGGGAAAATCTAAAAATAGGAAGTAGTATTATTCAATTATCTGAAATAGTTTTCAAAACTGACTGGAAGATTTTAAGATTGACTACTATATTCCTATGATTCAAATGACTGTTAGTAGCTAACAAGTTATTACATATTTTTATCCGTGTTAAATTATTTACACATTTAACCTGAGAGACTGTTTTATAATGAACAAGTGACATTTAATCAATATGAAAATAGTGTCAAAGTAAAACTAAGTTTTGTTTGAATTTAGTTCATATGAATAAACCTGAACGTATTTGGTTAATTACAATTATTGTGTTATCATTGCCTAAAAAAGCCTAGTATTTTAGATGTACTATAAACTGTAGTTGATTTTTATTTGATGGCTGATACTGATATTTCGATGTAAGAAGAGAGAGCAAAGTACAGTCAAATAATGTATTATAGAAGAGAAGTAAAATGAAACCTGAAATGACAAATTTTAATAGAAAGAATGAGAAAAAATCAAGAAAAAAGAATATAAGTCCTTTTAACTTTGGAGTCTATAAAATACCACTGCTACAGCTTGCTTGTATAGCCCCATATGTATCTATCACTTGTCAGCCAGGTAAAAAGAATGTCCAGCAGCAAAGGATGCCATTCAAGGATATTTAGGGATTGCTTAATGAAGAAACTAGGATTTCACTTGCAAACATTTGCACAACAGATTTATTTTCTCAACTGAATCTTATGCTCAGTTCAACTTGGGACTGTTACCTTTTTCCTTAGTATTACTTGAAGCCTTAATATCTTTTCCTTTTGAAGAGTCTGAAAAAGAAATCGAAAACAGAAATGGAAGGACAAAGTTACTACTATAAGTATACACTGTGCTCACTGGTACTATAACAGATGTTCATAGCACCAGATCAACAAAATATGCAAAAGAGATATATTAATAATTAAAAATTTCTGTTTACCTCAATAAAAGGCTCAACGTAAGATTTGGAAGCAAAACAAAAATAATTCCCTCAAAATTTGCTGGCAAAATTTCTGTAAGTCAAACCACGTACTCATTCCTGTGCAGTCTATTATTTCAGCCTGACATGTGAATTTAGTAACAGCTCTGTTACTGATTCACTCAGAATAGATTAGCATTCCCACTTCAACACTGGCGGTGCAGGTCAGACAGCAGTTAAACAACACCACAATAAAAGGGTCATGAATTTATTATTTCTGAATCATGTCAGAAACTGCTCTTTTCAATATATCAGATCTATTAAATGAGAAGAAGCTAGGTTTAGTTGCTTTTCACCAACACTCTGTACCAGCAGACAACTGGTTATTTGCCAACCACATAATGATAAGACATTACCCTTTTCTTTTAAGGCTGTTGGAGGCTTCACATCTTTTCTTTTACTGGTCTCTAGAAAAAAACATTTAACATTTATCACAAACCAGGTGAGAAAAAAAATATGACACTTGAAAAGAAAGCAAGTCAAACAATTTGATATGTAGAGAGTAAAAAAGATGTGATAATTAAATTGATTTAACAGTATGGAAATAAAAAAACAGGACGAAAACCCAAGGTCATCCATTCATCTTTTTAGTCTTGTATACGCAAAATAATAAGCCTTCAATATGTCATTAGTTTCTTCACATTTTGAGGAAACTGTTGAGCCCTCTCTCAAGTAGGCAATGAAGAATAATTACTTACACAGAAGTAAGAAATTCTACAGAGCAGTTGACATCAATGGATTTTTCCTTTACTGAATCCAGATAAAAAATTAATCCACATTGATACAATTGAAATATTAGGAATACCAGTCTTGAAAGCCAGAGGCTGTTGATAAAGGTAAGTAGGAGTTTTCTTTATTCAGAAGTGACAAAAGGACCAGTTACTCACTGAGGACTCCATTATTCTTTTAATATCAAAGAGGCCATATGGGTATTGCCTGGGAACTGGATTTTACTTCCTGCATATATATAGCCTTTTAAAATCACAGGCACACTGGGTATAAAAGAAGAGCATTGCTCATCTTTCAAAGGTACATTCATAGATTTTATGTCACAATGAATAGTCCAAGAACTTAATTGTATCTTCTTTTTTTTTTTTTTTTTTCTGCAATATATGACAAAGTATTAAAGGACAAGAGAAAAAAAAATTGATATTCTAGTTTTCTCTTTCTGGTAACTGAAAAGGTAGAACCTAAGGACAAAAAAAAAAAAAAATCTACAAGTTAGCTAAGAACAAATAAAGGAAAACTATGATCTTCCTGTGGTGAGACACACACACTGAGAACAGTGACAAAGAGGAGAATTCTGAGCCCCAAGGGGTGACCTGGCTTCATTTCTCAGACTTTTCAGAAGGAATAAGACATTTCTCACAGAAAAATATATCTCTGTATCTATTCAGATATACTCTGCTGTATATCTATTCAGCAGCCATAGACAGGACTGCATCAAATATCTCCATCTTCCAAAAAAATGAGACTTTGTAATAATTTGAACCTCAGATGTGCTGTTACAGCTCAAGACCCTGGTACAGTTCTGATAGCCTTTGCTATTTCCTTTAAATTTTTAAGCTGTTTCAGTACTCTCCAGAAAGAGTTTTTAATACACATCACAAATACAAATCTTATTTGTAAGATTTTCTCCAAATGGATACTATCAAGCAATCCGTGATCTCTTTGTGCACAGCAGCAGGCCAGCCTCCTGCAACTGAAAAGGTTAGAGACATATGTGCCTACGTTGCCAACAAATTAAGGAAAAATCTTAACATATCAGTCACTCTCAAACACCTGGATCTGCCAGTAGCCTCAGCCAGTTTCATTCTCAGTCATCCACATTCCTGAGCTGTAGCCATGTGGACCAGATTTAGTCTAGCTCTCTGCAGAAATGTTCTTACCGTGGGATTTAGATAACCCATTTTTGACAGACTAACATCTAAAGGTGGTATAAAAATAAATTTTAGTATTTCCCCTCAGATCCAAATTCAAATATGTGCATTTAGAAGAAGTCTAGGTAGTTTCTAGGGACCCTACTGGGATCTATACAACACAAATATTGTTAAAAACAATATAATTATTAAAATAATCTAAACATAAATCAGAAAGGGTTTGGTTTTACACATATATTTCTAGTCAAGACCTGTTTCTAGTGTAGAATAGCTGTTCTGATATTCAGATTTCTGATAATCTTAGCTTCTTCACTTACCTTTTTCCCTTGAACCCTCTGGATTCTTGGGATTTTTTCCTTTCAGAGAATCTGTAGGGAAATAATTATGTTTTTGAGACTTAGAAGATAGGACAGCCCTTCTACATTTAAAAGAAAACTCAAGAAATATTTAAAAATCAAGACTAAAATTGTGAACATAAATGGATACAACTTTGACATCTCTTTACATCCTCTCTAGCAACCGTCTCGTATTTTTTTAAGGTGCAATAATGTTAGTAGTAAATGCAAGAGTAGAAGTTGCTAAGTTGCTATAGATTGTTGTCTGTAGAGACCTCATAGAAGGAAGAAACTGGAAAAGAGAAAGGGAAAATGCAAGTAATGACACAGGATTAGAAATTCTTAGGGCTTTATCCAAAACTTCATGAAGACAGAAGGGATTATTCTACTTTCTCTCTTCGTCTGAAGAATATTTTTTTTACCTCAGTCCTTCAGGAAACATACACTTAGGGCCATCAAACACAGCAAAAGCATGTTATTTTGTATAAACAATTAATGTTTAAACAATTTTTCCAAGAAATAGTCTCTTGACCTCTGAAGTGTATATATCAAGGAAATTAAGAGAAAACAGTTTTTTCCAAAGAAAGGAAGTAGTTTCATAGGCTTATGAATGTATGTGGTTTCAGTGAGAGAATATCAGAGCTTGCAGGGTGCTGAGTAGTCCCAATTGCATTCTATCTGACAGGATATAGCACCTAAGCATCTAGAAAAAGAAACATGCTATTTATTCCAAATGAGAGTAAACCAAATCTTCAGTAAAACAGATAGAGCTAAAAGAAGATCATTTACAAAATAATTATAACTCTGAACATTCTCCTGGCTGCCATGGTACCAGAAAGTGATCCCACTTATCTATCTGGTTTTAAGTGTGAGTTATAACAGAAAAAGTTCATTTCCAGGATGGCTGAAGTTGTGGGAGAAACCATACTGTGAAGGGATAGGCTCTTAGAAGCCTCCTCTTCACCACAGCAGCAGTGGATTCTTCTTCATGGTACTGAGAGAAAACCTGCAGTGTGAAGACTGAAATCCTTTGAAGTAGCCTCTATGTTGACTATATAAGAAGCCTCGAGACAACACCTACCCAATTGACCATTTTACTTTGGCCAAATCTGTGATCTCAATGATCAGCAGCCACTGTTGCAGCCACAGCCAAAAAACATTGCCTTTGGCCTTATGGGTTTGGTGGGATATGGGCATGAGGGCTTTTTCGTCATCCATGTAGCAGATCTCTCTGAGATTTCCTACAATGTGTAGCTCCTAAAACATATTCAGCACTTTCTACTCTTACAACATTTGGATGCAGCTCTCAGTGCAGGACACTTTCCATGGCACACCAAATTCCCCACCCTCTCAGCCAAGACTGCTGAGATCACCAGTTATGCTTTCCTTCCAGGCAGCAGGTTTTCATTTTCAGAGGTTCATACAGGGATTCACTGAAGGCTTTCCAAACTTCTCCTCTCAGCTGACCACTTTCCTGCTGGTCCCAGAAGGGGAAAAACGTAACATGCTCTCTTAAACCCAGCATTTGCCTCACTACTTTGCTCATGCGTTCTACTCCAGGGGTAAAACTGGGTTAGGTTAGGAAGATGGTACAGAAAGACGAAGGAGCAACAGTGTGTGATATCCTCAAGATAAGGACCTGGTTCTCATGCAAATGACAACAAATGGAAATAGGAAGACACTGCCTTTCTGTAGGTAAGTCTCACAATATAACTTCTACATTTAAAGAAAAAAAATTATAAGTTAAGATAAAAAATATAACAGGCAAGGTGTTATTCCATGTTACTTTTGCTTTAAAAGAAACATAAGCATTGCATAGTGAGTGCAAATCAGCACAAGTTTTTTCTTTAATAACAATGTGCTGTTATGTATATGGCAAGAAAGAAATACACACTACTCACTTATTTCCCCTACCAATCTGTGCATAAAAATAAACAGGCTTATTATCCATGCATAGCTGATATAAGAAAAGATGCAAAGATATATCAAAAACATTGTAAAAGCAAATAAGAAAGAAAAGAGGAGCATTTGTTTGGAAAACAAATCCTGTACCATAGGATAAGAGTGAATTTACATTATCTGAGCACAACTGCTCTCAGTTTAATATCACAGCATAATGCTCTTAGAAAAATTCAGTGAGGAGTTGTATATGATATATCATGAGCTTTTAGTGCCACTGTTAGAGACTCTGAATAAATAATTTATCTACCCAAAAACCACCTGGCAAATTACACCTTAGAGTTTCATTGGCCTCAAATTTTTTGAATATGCTAATGTTAACAGAAAATCAGCTTTTATATTTGTTAGTACAAATGGGTTTCTTTACTGCAGGAAAAAGATGAAAAGCTAGTTATAAATTCAGATGGAGTCTTGAGATGTCCTTTATTACAAGGCAACGAAAAATATATTATTCCAGTGTTGTCCTTAATTACTGCCAATAAAATTATTCTCCAAGACTGAAGATACTTTATTCACCTCATAAAATAGATAAAGCAATGTTTTGAGGTTGTGATCTATAGAGTATCCCAGCAATAACTCTAGATTCAGGGATTTATTTTTCCTCTTTCTGATTTAAATAAAACCACTATGCTTCAGGTTACGAAAAATAGTCTGCTTTATGATAAGGGTTTTGGTCTGGACATCATCCTTGTTCATTCAAGCTTAGCCCATCCATCAAAAAGAATGAGGTATGATAATGCCTCCCTTAGTGCATAAGGTGCCAGGCAAACATTAATCACCTCAAATATTCAACACTTCATGTAGAAGTGTTCCTTTATTTGGTTTACATGAATAGTAACAAACTACCAAGAAACTTGATTAGGAAGTATATGCAGTCTTAAAAATCCTTACTTTCCTGTGTCCTTTGAAATATTTGTATTTGTCAAAAACATCCACTTAAGAAAACACCAAGTCACAGAGCAAAAGAAGTCCCCAGTGATCTGGTTAATAAACTCTACAGAGGTCCACTAATGAGGCTTGAAGAGGTGATAGAGAGGTGAAAGAGTTCAAGCAAATAAACATGCAAATAAGGCTTTGATTAATTTATGAACTACAGTTTGATCAAATATGGTGACTGAAATGGGGGATTTACAGTGCTAAATATATGTTTATGTAGCAGAGTAATGCAAAATGCAATAAGAAAACACACAGCTCAGAAAAGGCACCAAGGTTTCTAGGGGTTTCTCCCAGACAGCTTTATAAGTTTTCCCTATGGAGTCTTTGATGTCAATATGTTTTGAACTGAACTATACAGCTCACTAATCAGCACCTTCATTTTCAGACACGGGTAAAAAACTGTGAAGATTTGATGCCTATTATGGGAAACAGCAATGACTACATGAGCAAGTGTTCTCAGGATCTGAGGTACAGGCTCAGGTGG